AAGTATAGCATTTGTTTTAGTACAAAATTAAGTTGTTTATTTAGTTAAGTATCCTAATTAAATAAATAAATTAATTTCAAAAGGCAATGTAATATAAACTATGAGATATACTGTTCATGAAACCTGTGTAGTTCTAATTCCATTTTAGTTATACATTGCGTACTTTCCAAAAATTTTCTGAGAACGGCATTTAAATGACGAACAAAAACATTTTTTTCTAAAGTTAGCATTACTGTTTAAATTAAACTTATTAAAGCACTCCACACCCAATCCATCGCTAAATAATTAAGTATTCAAATTCTCAAATGTTATTTAAAAACCTAAGCGAAGCTAGGCAGTATGCCTAGTATATATATATATATATATATATATATATATATATATATATATATATATATATATATATATATATATATATATATATATATATATATATATATATAAAATTCTCTTCTTGGATACGTTAGAAAACACCGAGCTGTAAGCGCGCCTAGCAGTCCACTCTCTTCCTCTCTAGGCATATCGCTACCACTCCCATCCCCACATGGTCTGGTGAGCTGTGGTTCACGCTAAATGTTTACAATCGTCGAGCCGGGTTTAGTGACGCCTATTAGGGGCAGATAATTTAGTTTCAAAGATTTTAATCTTAGTGGAGGTAACTAAGAGGAGGCTGCTTTCAAGGGGGGGGGTGTAGTGTAGTGGTTGGGGGAATGGAGGGTGGGGGTAGTATTGACCTTAATGACCTACTGATAGTGTTTTAAAGCAAATATTTTCACTGGTACTGTCGAATTCACAAATTATGAAATACTGCAAAGTAGAAAAATTAAACAACGTTATTCTAATCCCTCACAAATTATCAAGAGGGGTCGTTCGACAAATTTTTTTTTTCGTTATATAGCTCAAATCAGGAGAATTTCACTCGCGGTCATCATTTAGCCCTCGTCGAGGGCTATGAGTTGAAACGGCAACTTTTCCATACGGCCTAGCCATTTATCTAGAAGCTTGCAAAAAATTAGCCAGATGTACAGAGGGTAAGTACCCTAAAATCAGTGTTGAAAATACCCTCTGTTTTTCCCATAAAATACAAATATTATATAAGGGAAATACGACTGGTCAGTTTTGACTGTTAAAAGAAAATATTTTCTATATAAATTCCATTTCGCTCGTGGGGGGGGGGGGGTGGTAGACTTTTTTTCGGGGGGGGGGGGGGGGCTCCGAAAAGATGCCTGGAAGAAACTGATCTAGAATTCAATTCCACTCTACATTTTTACATTCCAGTAAGAGCTAAAAAAGTGTATCCTTCTGATAAGCTTACTTAAAATTTGGGACATCCGGTGGATAGAAATAAACTTCCTTGTCGTGTATGTAAAGAGCGAGGAATAAAATATGAACAAATCAAATTCAAGTTCGATAAAGAAGTAGAAAAAAACACACGTAGGGCCTATATGTGCTAAAACAAATAGTTTAGGATATTAATATTTCTTTTTATAAAGAATTGATTTCAAATGATTAGAAAATAAACAGGTAAAGAATTTTGCGCACCAAGTGAAAGCAAAACAATATGTGTATAATAGTGCCGAATATGATTATTACTTTATAAATTCACATGCGTTTTTTTTTTGAGGGATTGGAAATAGCGTAAATTACTAATTCCGGTCAACGGAAATAACTAATAGAAGTTCTCATAATTACTCATAATTTGACAGAAGGCATAATATTAGATCATTTACTTACATGTGAATATTCATTAATCTATCTGAAACAGTACTCAATTTATAGACTTTTGAAAAAATTAAAAATAGAATAAGTTTCACTTAACGGAAATCACTGACAAAATGATGCAGAACTAATTTGATATAATACTGATATATGAAATTTACTTTATCAACCTAGCTGTAAAGTTACTCAATTTATAGTGTTCACAGAAACACACACACACACACACAAATACATACATACACACATAATATGTATAAATATAGAAAGATAATATTTTTAAAAAAATGTATAATATATCACGAATACCATGGCAAAGATAACCATATGTGCATCTGTTCCAGAGACCGATTTGTTGATCATCAGAAAATTCTTCAACAGCGGAGGACCATCTATACGTCGCCACGCCTTACAATATGCAGCAAAATGCCAACAAACTGTATAAAAACACCCACTAAACTTCCAGCTTTTGTGCAGACTGTAGCTGACATTCCTGAGTGTTTAAGAGAAAGAAAATCATAATTAAAATGGCTGTAAAATCAACGTGTTACATAATGGACAAAAAAAATTCAATTGGAGTAGTTTGTAAAATAAAATATATAACGTATCTACAAACCTGGATTATCCGCTAGCTCAAACACACTGGGAAGTCAAAAATGTTTCAATTTTTCTTTAAGGTAACATCTCGTAGTTATCTAAAACCTTAAAGATGGCGACGTCCAATCAAAATGCTCCTAAACCGCACGCGTTGTTTAAATATAGAGTTCGTTCGACAGGAAACTTTGAGATAAGAACTTTAGTAAAATAACTCTTTAAGTGGTGAACACGTAGTTTGTACTATGATGGAACTACAAACATCGTAATATCTATATATATAATTCTCTTCTTCGAGCCGTTAGAAAACAAGCTGCAAACGCTCTCCCTACCTCCCCACCCCTACATGGTTTTAGTGAGCTGTGTTCACTCTAAATGTTTACAAGCAGAGCCAACGATTTTAAACGTAGGGGGGGAGGAGGGGGGGAGGGAAGGAAGGGGGGGGGGTTATGGTCCTTAACGAGCTACTTATAGTGTTTTAAAGAAATATTTTCAGTGTCAGCGAAAAAATTATGAATTATGAATTATTGAAAATTAGAAACAACTAAATAGCGGCGTATGTTATGCCGCGGGCCGGCTCGTACACAAAAAGAGATCTCAGTAGGTGTTGGCGTGGTGGGGTGGGTAAAGCTCATGGCTGCTAAAACTTTAATTCTCGAGTTCGTACCCTTTGTCAGATGTGGCTCGACAGCTGGGGACATCTGGGTACGCTGGGGACAGCAACTCCTCTAGGAGTGACGCCACCGTGACGGAAAAAAAATAAGACTGTAAAAAAAACTGACATTGCAATTTTTTAAAAACTTTCAAATATCATATAGATAGTTATAATAGTAAAAATAAACGCATTTAAATATATATATATATATATATATATATATATATATATATATATATATATATATATATATATATATATATATATATATATATATATATATATAGATGCTATTGTTGTAATAAACACTTCTTTTTGTTCCTTTCTCTATTTTAAGAAAAAATATATATAATATATAAGAGTCAACTGATTAGATTTTCGTAATTGAAAACACTCTAGAAATATTTGTTTCATATTTGTTAATATGTGAGTGCTGAAATGTCTGTACATTTCGATTTCATTTTAATGACATTTCACAACAAATTTTGAAATTAAAAAAAAAATCTCTAGAGTGTTTTCTGTTACAAAAACTAGCCCGCTGACTCTATTAGAGTTAGTAAAAGAAGGATCAATAATTATATGATTAATATAATCATGTGTTCGTTTTTTAACATTATGACCTCAACACACGTTAGTTTTTCAAGATGGCAAATAATGCCATCGACACCAATCTTTCAAAAAAGGCAGGCAAATATTATCCCTTATGTACCCTAACATAGATACACACACATACATAAATATTGCTAATTAATTAAGAAGTTTATTTTTTCGAAGCCCACCCCTTAAAATTAATTTCTAGTATTTAATGTTGAATTAGATGAAAGTTAGATGTATGTCTGTTGTCACAGGAACTGCTTTTATTAGCACATTTTAAAATTAATTTCTCCATAAATTATTGCTCTAAATGGTGTTTTGCATTGCAAAGTAATCGTGTGTTACATCAGGCTGCACTCTGCTTACACAATTTTCTGGCAGCTTTTGTGGCACCAGTTTCTTTCAGGCATCTATTCGGGGGAGGGGGGACTCAGCCCCCCCCCCCGAAGAAAGTCTACCGCCTCCCCTCCCCCCCGAAAATATCAAGTGCCCCCCCATCCCGGAGAAAAAAAGTCTGGAAGAAACACTGTGTGGCACAGCTGATTCCAAGTTGAATCAGATGTGTATAGAGATTGCCTGGCACATTGAACCCAACTTTCACTTCAAATTCCTGCAGGTTTTTTATCCGGAAATTTTCCCATGCGTAATCATCCTATCGTTTTTCTAGATTAAGAACAGAAAATTACTGTGTTAAATATATGTGTCGCTGGGCATGGTTTAAAATAACGCTTGATATCTGGGCAAAAAAAAAAGAAAATTGACAGCTTATCGCTGATGGTTTTCTTTCATAAAAAAAAAAAACATACTCGCTGAATTAGACCAGAGAATTGTAAATTCCGCACATCCTTGCGCTAAACTAATACCCTTCCGCGTTTTATCGAATATGTTGGCGATTAAAATATTTTTTTAAAAAGTTGTCCAAAATCTTCGAAATCAAAGACTCCGAGCTGTTGTGCCCTCTCAAGATAACTTGATCTTAATAAAAGGTAATAAAATTATTGAAAGTAAAGACAAAAGGAAACCAACTTGTCTCGTAATGTTCTAAAGAAATTATTGGTTTTACAATTATAATAATACGGTTTTCTAGAGAGTTAGATTGAGATTAAGAGGGAGGACCAATCATTCTAAAATTATTTTGTTTACATTTATGTTTCGCTGTAGCTTATATTTATTGTAGTAAATTATATTTAAATCTTTACATCATCATAAATATACAGACCAGCGTACTTCACTCTATCTAAACAAAATGTAACGAGTACAGTAAAAATGATATATCAAATATATGTTTTTATTTAAAGTTTTAAGTAAGTTTCAACGGTAAACATAAAAAAAATTATTAAAATTTAAAAGATAAGAACTGCATTAATATTCAAAATATTTAGAATATTTATTTACATAAGAATACTTTCAATATAAACACATTTGGAAGGAACGTGTTAGTAGAGCGGTTGTAAAATTCTTAGGCAGATGTTCTGCCAAATATGCCGTAAATGATACCTCCAGTCGCGATGAGAATACCGCCGATGATGCTCAGAATAAAGGAATAACCTATCTTCATCAAGTGATTGTTGAGTTTGGCACCCCATATAATGACGCCAATCAAAATAAACACGACTGAAATACCAGATAAATGGATAGATAATTAAACAAAAAAAATGTTTTACATAGTTTTAATGTAAAATGATTTAACATAATATGTTTGTGTAATATAAGTAGTTATTCATACCGCCACAATACCTGTTATAAATAATGACAATTGAACTTTTCTCCGTCTCATACATAGATATAAGATCTTATCACAATTTTCATATATAGTTTCAAAATTAATATATTTTTATCTAATCGAAAAAGATAAAATACGTCACGGGCGGTAACTTATAAGCTAAGTTTTTGAACTTGTAACATACACCATGGTTGAATGTATTGTTTAAAAAAATGGTTGTTAAATTAACGCCTTGATAAGATACATTTAATACAGTAATATGTTTTCGCTCTATTATACACAAACTAAGTTCATTCGGTACGCGTTCCTTGTTTTTTTCTACGCAATTCAATTATATTTAAAAAGAAATAACTATTACAAAAAAAATGGTATAACCGAATTTTTATCTCGCTTACTTTTATAAAATATTATTCAAGGTACTTTAAGGGAGATCATGCACGCTTCATTTTAATGTGTAATAATTTAGCTAATTATACTGCTACAAAGATCTAAATTAATTTCCGCGCTTGTAAAAATTTCTGAATTTTTTAAAATCTCTATTATGGGTGAATCTATTTTTGGTGAGGATAATACACTAAACAGAAAAATAAATTTCTACAGCAACCAAACGGTTAATATCTGCAATAAACTGTGAGTTCGCTTTAAAAACCTACATGAAATTATTGCAGCTGCTGCAGAGATCAAGTGGAAAGGCAGCGCAGCATCTTTGCCTAAAATCTTGTGAAAAATATCAATCCAAGCCACTGCCATAGCGACAAAGCTGATCCACGTGCCAATGATGGCCATCGCTTCGCAGGCTTCAAGGGCGGCTGATAATTCATATTAGAACAGTAAAATAGTATATTAAGCTTAATATAACCAACACGTTAACCAGTGTTACTTCCAGAATTTTTTCTCCGGGGTAGGGGGGTGGGGGGGGGGGAAATGGGGGAGGGGGGGACACTTAACATTTTTGGGAGGGGGTCGAACTAAAATTTCGGGGGGGGCGGGGGGTGGACACTGGTAAAAGCATATCCTTTCTATATAGATTCTATTTCTTTTGTCTTTTGGAGGAACGGTAGATATTCTTCGCCCCCCCCCCCCTCCCCCCAAAAGAGATGACGGAAAGAAACTGACGTTTACTCGTGATGGTGATCAAAGTTGGCTTTTCAAATGTGTTAATTTCAAATTATAAACACGCAACAGCAACTAGCTCTGCTTAAGTATGGTAACTTTAACACACTAGATTGCCCTGTCAGAATATGTTAACATTCAGGTATCAAATATGTCAGCTTCAGTGTTTCAACAGCTTGTTCACTAAAAAGATCTGTTTAGAATATTTAATATAATATCAAAGGTGCTAACTGTTCCACAAATATTTTCTATCATAGTTTCTTCCAAGCATCGGTGAATGTATATAGAATGTATATAAAAACTATATACTTTTACGAAAATTTAGTCCACCCCCCTATCCCCACGAACATTCCAAATGCCCCCACCTCCCCACCGAAAAAAAGGAAGTGTAAAAGAAACACTGTTTTCTAGACGTTTTTCGACTCTCCATTATACAATACTAAAAAAAATACAAATCATAATGGAACAATGCCACCCATTTTCCATCTTTCACTACCTACCAGGTTTGAATGAGTGCTCTTTGCAATAAGACTGATCACACACTTTCCATAAACCATATTTAGCCCACCCATCTTGAACTGACCATCCTGGTGTCGCCAGCCCTCCGATGTGAAGAATGACGCCAACAGACAAAACGACAACGGCTGCAAGACTTCCAACTTTTATCCCAGCAGGTAAAGCCATGCGTAAACTATGTGGAATGTGTAGAGAAAATAATCAGAAATATGAACATTTGTATTATCTATAAACAGATAAAAATAAACCGGGAGTGATCTTCCCTAAACTTTCTCGAATATTCTAATATAACACTACGTGGGATGGCAACTCGGAATATAGACATGGTTTTTGTTTACTTAAACGTTTAAAAATATAATAAAATCTAGTAGAAAAATGAATTACGCACCAAGCGAACGCCAAAACAAAATGTGCATAATAGTGCGTAATATTATTAGTACTTTATAAATTTACATGCGTTTTTTTAGAAATCGGAAATTGTCTGCCTGCCTGTGTGTCTGTCTGTCCGTCTGTCCGTCTGTCAAATTTTTGAGTAATTTCCGTTGACCGGAAGTACCAATTTACGCTATTTCCGAGTTCTCAAAAAACGCAGGTAAATTTATAATATTTTGTTTTGGTGTTCGCTTGGTGCGCAATTCTTTTTTCTATGAGATTCTATTCTATTTTTAAAAGTTTAAGTAATTAAAAATCATATCTATATTCCAAGTTATGTAAGAACTAGCCGTCCCGGCCAGGCTCTGCTCTGGATTCTGTGAAAAACCTTTCTGTTAAAGACCATTGCCTGTTTGTTTATTAATCATCATAAACCCGGCATAACCCACCCAAACCACAACCAACCAAAACCAAAACAACAAAACGCAAACATAACGCTAACACAATTACAAATAAAAACAAGAACCTAACAACAAACCCAACCACAACCACAAACACCAATACGAACACAAAGAAAAAAAAAACGAAAAAGCAAACGAAAACAAACCAAATCTAAACGCAAAACCAACCACAAACACAAACCCAAAGAAAAAAAAACAAATGAAAACGAAAAAAGAAAGATAAAAAACAAAACAAAACGCAACCACTAACGCAAACCCAACCTAAACACAAAGAAAACACTATCGCGTACATAAGCGCAAGTGCTCACAGTCTAGCCCGGGGCGGAATCGCCTGTTTCAGCTTAATAAACGACTATAGTACCCCAACATATTCATTGTCTTTTGCACTCACTTAAACGAAAGTAGACGCCAAACCGAACACGGGAGGCCCGGGGCCCCAAATAGCACCCTGTCTGGGCACCAGAGGACGCCCGGATTCGATTCACTTAAAGACTATAGTAACCTTCCTTATCCATACTCTATCGCACTGTTTAAAGCGAAATTATGCACCATAGCGCTCACAGGATAGCATAGAGCGCCAAATTCAACCCTGGAGCAGAGGCGTAGCGACCCTTCCCGGCGCCCGGGGACAAACTTTTCGATTTGCACCCCCCCCCCCCTCGAGATTTCCATTTGCACCCCCCCCCCTCAAACTTTCGATTTGCACCCCCACCTCGAGATTTCCATTTGCACCCCCCTTCAAACTTTCGATTTGCACCCCCTCAACCTTTCAATTTATTTTTCCAACCCATTTTGGCGCCCCCTAAGGTCGGCGCCCGGGGACATATGTCCCCCCCTCGCTACGCTACTGCCCTGGTGGGGCGCCGGCGGACGCGCCTGTTTCAATTTAATGAACAATTATAATACTCCAAGCTTAAACGTAAAATACCTACAACATTTGAACTTGATCAATCGCCGCTAATTATGTAATTATTTTTTTCCCAACACCAAAACAAAGCTAAAGGACTAAATATAAATAATTTTCAGACATAATTAGAATTTTTGTAAAAGATGATGTTTTTTTTTAAAATTGTGTTTAATGAACATGCCGACAATTATTACTATCAGTTTGAAAACTGAAAATTATTTCCCAACACTTTCAATAGTAATTTTTTAACTAATAAAATTTAGACTATGAGCACGATAATAATCTTACACTTAAATCCATCGAAGTATGTCCACGACAAACAAACTTATTACATGTTACATACAGAATTGAGCTTTATATATTAGATTAGATATTCGAGAAAGTTTAGGGGAGATCACTCCCGGTTTATTTAAATATATTTTTAATTATAAATTTAAAAGCTTGAGTTTACAAATAAAACAAATACATCAACATGTGTGGTGTTTGTGTTGTTAGTGCCATAATTAAACAGTCAATAAAATGTATAAGGAAAAGAAAACAAAAGTTTTTTAGTAGAATTGAAACAAATGAGAAATTATTAAATGCGGTAGTAATTTAATACTTTCTGGAAAGTATAATAATTAAGATAGGACTTTTAAAGGTCAATGTTTAAAAAACAAAGGGGTCGAATAGATGCACCAAATTAATTCATCGCAAGTTAGAATATATATATTAAGCTTTAAATATTTTATATACTGTTTAATAAATTGTTTGTAATAAATTAAGAAAATATTTTAAAACAGAAATAGTCTAAAGATATTTAAGCGGTTTGATTTGTATGTTTGTTAAAAATTAAATTCTGCATTATAACTGTATAATAATAACTAACACAGTAAAAATAAGACTAGTGTAAGTCTATTGATTTTTTGGTGAATTATTTTTTTTTGTTTCTCTTCCTTAGTCTTGGTAACACTCTCTATATATATAATTCTCTTTTGGGAGCCGTTAGAAAACAAGCTGCAAGCTCGCCTTACAGTCCCCTCTCTTCCTCTCTATCGCTACCACCCCCCACCCCACCCCCACCCCCACATGGTCTGGTGAGCTGTGGTCACGCTAAATGTTTACAAATCGTAGAGCCGCGTTTAGTGACGGCTATTAGGGGCAGATAATTTAGTTTGAAACGATTTAAAACTTACAGGAGGTAACTAAGAGGAGGCTGCTTACAAGGGGGGGGGGAGGGGGTGTAGGATAGGGGTTGGGGGAAAGGGGGGGGTTAGTGTTTTAAAGCAAATATTTTCAGTGGCAGCATTGGTACTGTCGAATTCACAAATTATGAATTACTGAAAAGTAGAAAATAAAACAACTAAATGGCGGCGTATGATACGCCGCGGGTCGGCTCGTATGTATAATTCTCTTCTGGGAGACGCTAGAAAACAAGCTGTAAACGCTCATCTAGAACGGAGGGGGGTGGGGGTTGTCTAATTTTTAATAACGTTATAAAATGGATTGGAAATGTACAACACCTGTTTAATTAAATCGTATGATTCATCTACTTACGGAAATGTATGTTAATTTGTAGCCCTGGTTTATTGGCATATAAATACATAGCATCCGCCTCATTATCATCTATTTGTGTTTCTGTTCAACACACATGGGGCAGATGAAGTAGAGTGTATGTGTCTCAATGAGGTTATAATGTGGTCAGCACTGTGTCCAGCCGCGTTTACTTTCTCTAACGTGAGTTATGAATCCATCAGAGCTGGGTGGACTCAGGGACGTTCGACTGTATTGAATCCGGATTACAACTCGAGACTTTCGGGATAGCAACTAGCTCTCTACCGCTTGGCCACGCCAGGGGCGCCGCCCCCGCCCCCCTTAAACTGCCCATATTCACACTCATTCGTAGATATTTGCAAGGCTTGTATGACGTTTACTCAGAGGAGTGGCGACCACTCTCGGCGCCCGGGCCGCCGCCCCCCCCCGCCCCCATATCAACGCCACTGCGGTTTACTCCCTCCCCCCCTCACATTCTTTACTACTACATTTAATAATCACATACTGGATAATGAGGTGAGCTATATACACACAGCTCTACCATCTGTTGTTACAATATTCGACTACCAGGGAAAGGATATGGGGGAGGGGGGGGGATCCAGCCAGCTGTACAATTAAAATGTATTCACAAGAGCACACGTGTGTTGAAACAGACTTAACTATTGATTGTTTGGACCGTTGTATCGTGCTTTAGTTTTCTATTTAAAATGTGTTAGTAACAACAAGTGTTTTTTCCAGACTTTTCTCTCCGGAGGTGGCACTTTGAAATTTTCGGAGGGGGGGGGGGGCAACGACACTGTTAAAAGTATATATTTTCTAAAAAAAAAATCATTTCGTACGGGGAGCGATAGAATTATTTCGGTGGGCGGAGTACCCCCCTCCCCCCAAGTGATGCATGTAATAAACTCTGGTACTAACAACTACAGCTCGCTAGCAAGTTTAGGTCATAAACTTAAACTGTGTCTGAAGAATAGTTTAGTGTCGATATATGACGTCAGACACATGGAAAAGGGTGAGGGGATGGATGTTGACATTTTTCTGTCAATGGGTTACGATAGAGGGGGGGGGGGAGGGCCGTTAAATCAGTGGCGTAGACAGGATCGTCTCAAGGGGGGGGGGTCCAATTTTTACCCGGGGACAAGCTTTCGATTTGCACCCCCTCCCCGTCAAACTTTCGATTTGCACCCCCCCCTCATACTTTATCTATACCGAGGGGTCTATGGGGGGTGGGGCTATGACCCCCCCCCCCCCCTAACACCCCCCTCTGTCTTCGCCACTGCGTTAAATCTTGCCACGTCACACATGTGCTTTAAAAAATATTAACCGAATTTTACGCTGTTATTTTTAATCTTTTTTAAATACAGTTTGTACAATTAAAAGTAAAGTTCCCCTTTCAAATCTGACGGTCTATCTATGGTGCAAGTGAAGTAGACCTCATCTGTTTCTGTGACCTCGGCTTGTGAAGGGATAGGATAGTGTTCGTCAGCGTTATGCTCAGCCGCCTTTACTTTCCCTAACGTGAGTTAGATACTCATTAGAGCTGGGTGGACTCAGGGGCGGTCTACTGACTCTTTGTAAGTTGTAATAATTGATCCATGTACTTAATATTAACCCAAAAATGTTCACTATTTACTAAAGTTAAGAAATAATTTAATTAAAATACAGAAAACATCAATGTAGGATTTTATCACTAAAAGGGAATATGGTTTTCTATTTGATTAATTTCAATAAGTAAGCAATAAGAAGCATAAGTAATCTAGCTTAAACTTACTGGTATACTAGGATATTTGCATATGACAGTAATAGCCTACTTGCGAAAGCACTTCAAGTAGAATCTAACATTAATATTTTTTATAAAATTATAACAACACCAACACAGAATCAGACTTTCATACTTAA